ATTCCGCCATCTTTCAACCTATTTTTCAATAAAATCTCGGCTCCGAGTCTCGTTTCCTTCTCCAAAAATACCGTGTTCGTGTGGCTAGCGGGACTATTTATTTTCGATAAAATGCGAAAAACGAGAAAAAGCAATAACTGGGGGTTGCCTCCTACGAAGCGCTCATTTTACGTCTTGAGCTCGACGTCCCCAACAAAAATCAACCAGGATCCAAGAAAAAGTGTCGATCATGCCACGCCTTTGTATTTTCCAATAGTAGACGAGTCGGTAGCACCGAACAAAGGCGGGCTAAATGAACTCTCGTGACCAAATTCTTGTGAAACCGAGCACGGATATCATCAACCACCAATAGGAAAAATGAATCTTTACGAACTGAGGCCCCACACTCGACCTCCGAAAATATAAAAATATCCGTGAAGCACGTCGAATCAATCCCGGGCATCGTTTGCACTATCTCGAACGTGTACTCATCAAGCTCAAGCATCGGGAGCACGGGCGTAGGCGCACTAAACTCCTCCAAATGGTCACGATCCTCAATAATACGAAACGACGCCCCAAAGGACATGGGAACCACATCATACTCAACATCACAAGTTTGCTTATCAATCAACGCACACCTCGGGTCCACGACATCACATGATAGCTCGGAATCCTCCTCAACAACATCCACAAAATCATCAACTACTACATCCTCCACTTCAATATCATCCTCCCGAGCACTATCAACATCGCTAAACACAATCGAATCCTCCAATAAATTTTCTCCCAACCCATCCACCATGTCAACACCCGAATCCATGCTCTCATCCTCAATAATCGAATCAAAGCTCATAGCACCATCAACAAAAGAGAAATTTGACGTACCTTTCGTAGATTGCAAGTTCGAGTCGTCAATAGGGGGAATTTCTTTGACAATCAAATCGTCGATGTCCTCACTCGTGTCGAGAGATTGTGTTCCATCATAAACGAGAGTGAGGCCCACCTCTTTTAAGGAGGCAAACCTATTCACCATAGCTCGAAACTCGCCTTCTAACCGGGTGCTCTCTCGAATAACCCTCGCCGATAGAGAACAATATCTACCGAGCAGAATGTGAGATGCGTCCAAATCAAGGGAAGAGACCACGGTAGAGTCGAACTTCGTGAGTGTGAGTTGAAGAACGGATGGAATGGGAATGCACTTCCAACTATGAAACTCCTCAACGATCGACATAAGGCTCACGAGTGCCTCTTGAGTGCTCGTCAAAACCTCTTGGTGGCGTTCGGAAGGCTCAACCGTGGTTGGAAATAAAGCTTCGGAGCTCAATGTGCAAGGTTGGCCAACCGATGGGTGCTCCAATGGTAGAGAGGGTGTAGCAAGGGACTCGGTATCATCTTTTTCGGGCATGGGAGCCATTGAAGCACGAAGGGATCGATTGCACTCCTCTAAGTGCTCCTTAATCTCGGCTACATTGACTCGGGAAGATTCTCGAGTCGGCTCGGGTGGAGATGACGCATCATAAGAATCGGGAGGCGGTGGATAATAGTGAGGCGCCTCGTCGTGACCCGGAGAGTAATAACCAAAATCGGCATGAGAAGTCGGTAAAAAGTAGCTCGGGTATAGATAAGGCGGCCCTCCATACGAATACATCTCCTCATGATAATTGTCGGGGCATCCACGAGACAAGCTACCGGCATAAGCATAGCCATACGGATCCATCGGTGCTCTTCAAGTGAAATACCTCGCACAAGAACAACAAAACAACCAAGGCACACGAGGCAAAAGAAAGAAAACACGAAAAGCAACTAACAAGACATGATATGTACACGAACACACAAAGCAAAAAGCAAGAGAAATCGAAAAACAAAGCAATAATCAAGAGAAACACGCAAAACAAGCAAAGAGCACAAAAAGGAAGAGAAACACGGAAACAAACGACAACTAGATAGTAAACTTGGCGTCCTACTCGCCTTCCCCGGCAACGGCGCCATTTGTTTAGTATAGATTTGGTGGGCAAGGGATAACCGAGTTACCCGACTCGGGTCGATCTCGAAGGAAGGCTATTCGGAGCTTTATCTACTAAATGATCGTCCAAATCACAAAAAGGGAAAATAAAATCCTAAACATTCTAAGCAATTGATTGGAAGGGTGATTAACACTAATCGAGCAGTTAAAAACGAGCAATTAATTAAAAGCAAGATCGAATGACGAGCAATTAGCAAACTAGATCACCGGAGTCTCATGCCATAACCATAACGGGATAATAATCAATCGACATAAGGAGTAAAAGCTACGAGCATTAGATTGCTAACCCTAGTCGTCTAACCGAGATCAACGAGCAATTAACGACTCTATCTACTCAAGCAAGCAATCAAGCATAAGCATTTCCTCCATCATCAATCAAATCCAAATTTACCCTAATAAGCATTATAAGTAAAAACGGAGCAAAAACCAAAGTAAAGAGCTTTAAAACTAAATACTCATTCTTCCATTGCGTAGATGATGAAAAACGGAGTCAAAAGCTCGAAACTTGAAAGAAACCGAAGTCGCCGGAAAATCTCCCGGAAAATGACATAAGCTCCTAATCTAGAGAGTAAAAATAAAACATAAACTAATTTCCCAAAGTGGGAAAAGTGAAAAATGAGAGTTGGATTTGGCAGGGCGCGAACTTGATTTGGGCTAGCCAACACTTTGGAGCTGAAATTGGCCATCTTGTTATCGCTGGCGAAATGGTTTTCGCGAGCCGCGACTATGGATTTGCAGGGCGCGAATTGGGTTTCGCATGCGAAAATTCAAATCCTTCTCTTTCCTTAGCAAAAACCCAACACTTAGCCATATTTTGACAAATTTCGCTCCAAATTTTCGAATCAACTTACAAACACTATAAAAACTTCATTTCGCTCATTTTTTTTGGGCTCGTTAATTGCTCGAAAATGGCGCGAACGAATCATCTTCCCAAAGTTACAGTTTGGACCTAAACAAAACACCATAAGAAATGCGAAAATACGACAAAATACAAAAACACAAAATAAAAACGAAAACACATAAAATGCGACAAAATGGACCGGTAGACACTCAAACGAACCTAAAAACGACTCGACTAACACATAAAACACAAGAAAAATAAGAACAAAAAAATAACAAACAATACCAGAGGTGGAGACAACGGGTTGCGCCGCCGTTGGTTGGCAACTTCATCTCGAACACCACTATTGGACGGGTAGAGACGTAACTGAAAGAGGCAATGGGAGGTGTGGGTTAGATACGCCGGCGGCGCAGCGGATGAGCTCTCTGCTTCCAAGGAGGAGGTTTGAGAAAATGATTATAGATAGGGTCATTTTTTAATCCTTAAGAGATGTCACAAAATCAATCGGCAAGGTAGGGCGGCGGAATCGTGCGACACTCCAGAATTTTCGGCCTTTCGGACGGCCCAAGAAGAAGAACGTGGGTATGTGGCGTGTGCAGCACATATATGCACGTCTGCCCAGATTTTGTGCGAGGAAATCCCGCTGAGGTAGGCAACAAAGAACTAGAAATTACGCCTGCACCCTCTAAAAGGTGAATGCAGCAGGCCTTTTTAGTAAAATCACATACCAGTAGAAGAAATTGTGAATTAAAAAGCATCTGAAGGCACCAAAAAGGTGCCGTTTATGCTCAACAGAGGAAAAAAAATAGCAACTGCCACGTGTCGACCACCGGAAGGGTAAAAAATGGACACGTGTCGTCACCACAATCGCCATAACTCGTTTATATATATATAAGAGATGTTACACAAAATTTTACAGGGCCCCGTAGGTATATCCGCCCCTGATTAGGCTCATGTGGTTTCAGCAAGCTTTTAAAAAATTTGACCCAACGAGTTCAAGCCAACTTAGACCAACCCGACCATTGGGTTTGGCGTAAGAAATTTTAAACTTTAACTTTAAAATTTTGATTTGCATTCTGTTCGACTATAATTTAACCTTGAACGTTGATCTTCTACTTGATGGATGATCTACGACTAAGATTCACCTGCCTCGACATTGACGGACCGACTAAAAATCAACGGTCGACCCAAAACCGGT